GAAAAGCGGAGGCGGCGGCCACTCCGGCTCGGCTCCGGTTCGCAGTGTCTTCCCGGCGCACCCCTTCCCGCTTCCGCAATTGCAAACTTGATGTGACCCGGCCCGACGCGGCGGGCGCCCCTCTCATCGCCCCGCGCGCCCCCAACGCACCCCGCCCCGCACCCCCGGAGCGCACCGCTCACCGCGCCCCCTCCCACCTCCTCGCCGGGGCCGGCGCGCTCTCGCCCTCCGCGTTCCCTTCCTCTCGTCACCCCTCCCACCCCCCCGCACCATGAGCAACCTGAAGCCGGACGACGAGCACAGCACCGGCACCGGCACGGGCTCGGGCTCCGGCGGCACCCTGGAGGAGGAGGTGGGTCTGCGCCCCGGGACTGGTCGGGTGAAGTGCGCGCGGAGGTGGGCGGGAGAGAGGGCGCGCCGGGCCGGTCCGGCCATCGCTCCCGGAGCCTTCCCGCCGCTGCCCTTCGACCGGGGAGGAGCAGCCCGTGTCCGGCGGGCGGGGGCGCACGGCCTGGACTGCCCCGCCGGGCGGGCATTGTCTCCCCCCCCTCCCGGGCTTGGGGCGGGCCGTGCGCCGGCCGCGGTCCGTGCGTCCCGCGGTGGGCGAGCGGCACCACGGCCGCCCCACGCCTCCTGCCCGCGCGTCCCTCGTCCTCCGCTCTCGGCCCGACTGGCTGCTCTCCTCCCGGCGCCTCCCCGCATGGCCGGGACTCCCACCTCGGCTGGAGGGAACTGAGCGGGATTAGCGCGGCGGGCGGGCGGCACCGTCCCGTGCCCTCTCCACCCTGACCCCTCCCCGTGACCTTGGAGGCCCGGGGCAGCCGCCGGCACCGTGGTTCACTAGAGCTGGTGGTGGTGGCGGCGGGTGCACGGGCTTCCCTCACAGCCCCAGAACCGGGCTCTGGCGAAGAGGTCAGCGGCAGTTAATTAGAGTTGGGAAGGCGATGCCTAAAGACACTTCCCAGTTCGCCTCCCTCGGTTTTGCCCAGGCAGCCAAGCTAGGACCCTAGAGCTGGCCTGGATGGATTCCGAAAGCAGAGGCGACGTTATCTGGTCCGCCAGCCATGTGCTAAGACTTGGGAGTATGAGGTGGCTTCGTGGAACCTCCAGCAGCTGGGTGGTTAATGGGATGGTGAAATCAGGGAGGATGTGGGGGGTGCGGTGGTGGATTTGGCTATCAGTGGATGGAGACCAGGAGCTGGGCCGCAAAGACAAAAACTGGTGTGGAAAGGGGACAGGGTTTGCAGCTCCCTTGAAGGGCCTGGGCCTCTGCTGTGTCACTCCAGGGCTGAGCGACCCTTCCTGCCCCACCCTGTCATGCTCTTGCCCAGGAAACCAAGGACCAGTTATCCATCCTGAGCTCCCTTCCCCTTGGTCTGGGGGAGAAACCGCAGAGCCCCTTGGTGGGGGTTGGTGTTGCTACCCCCTCCATTCCGGTGATGTCGCCGCTGGCCTGGCCGTGCTATAGGTTTGGTGCAGAATGGCGGCCACAGCCCCACTGCTGGGCTGGGCTCCTCAAAGTGGGAGGGATGGTGGGAGGGTCACACTGCCGGCTCCCACTCTTAGCAACTCAGAGCCTGCTGCCAGCCCCAGTCCACCAATGGCATGACATCTCGAGAATCTAGGTCTAAATTCTGCTTTTTTGGGGGGGTTGGGGGGGAGCGGGATACACAACTCTTCACTCAGTGTGGCAAGGGAGGCCCTGACATCGGTCCACTAGTGTGGTGTGGGCTCTAGTGTGGTGGGGTTGTTTTGGCTCCTGAAGGTCTTGTCCTCCGTGGATCTTGATGCCCACAGGTCTTGGCGTTTTGGACCTTAACCCCATCCTGGCTCCACCTGGTTGTTCAGAATCTCCCCCTTAGAGTTGGGGGAGGGTGACAGGGTTGCTGGTGTGGGGGGCCTCTGCTTGGCCTTCCGGTGGGCTGAAATTGAGGGAGAAAAGCTGTCTCCTACAAAGCTGGACAAGGACCCAGAATGCCACTTCTGCTAGAGGGTTGACTTAAGCAGGGACCTCACGCTGCCCAAGAGGCTGGGCTAGTCCTCAGACCTACCGCTTTGAGGTGGGAAGGGTGAACCATGTGGCCAGGCTAGTCTTGGAGAAAACATTTCAGGTCCTGGTCACTTTTTCTAAGTGCTTTTTCTGAGAGAGAGGGCAGAATCCTCAAGAAGTGGAATCCTTGCTATTCCTTGGGGGTGGAGGTGGCCACAGCACTGTAAGAGTTCAGGGAGTCAGTGCAGCTGGTATTGGTGGAGGGCCCTGTTTAAAGATCTAAAACTGAGGGCTCTGGGGATCTCCTGGAGCCCAGTGTCTGCCTGGTCAGGTAAGCACAAGGATTGGCCCCCTTCCCTGATTAGCCTTCTGAACAGTGAGTAGGCGAAGAGCTTTCTTGCTGGGGTTCCATCTTAGCTTGGTGGGTTGAGCTGGAACTGGACTCCTTCCCTTTAGCTTAGATGCCCCCTAGGTGGTTAGTTCTGCTACCCCTAAGAGCGACCCCCTAGGGAATCTGCATTAGCAGTAGGGTTTACTCTCATGGCTGACCTAGGCTGGCTCTTCCCAGCTGACTATGGAGGTTAACTAAAGCAACCCTAGGAAATCGAGGAATCCTACTTGGCCCACATAAGACCTCAATTCCTAAAGGTGTTAGATCACTGGAGAAGGGTGTATTTTCATGGTTCCAGGATGGGTTTCAGTGGGGCTGCTCATCTTGGTGTAGCCTTGACTCTTGGACAACTGGTTTGTCTTTATAGCCTGGGCTCTCCCTGGTTGCCCACCTTACCCATGGGGGCTTCATCCATATCATAAATATTAGGTTCCTTCTCTGGACTAGGGTCAGGAATATAGATGAAAGATCACAGACTGGGGAGTGAGAAGGATTTGCCAGGAAGCGACGGAGTGTTGAATACAATGGTAGATAAAATAAGGGGATATCAGCAAGTGATAGGGGGGTGCCACTGAGAAGTTACGAGGTCTGCCCTCCCTGAGATGTGGCTGAGTAGGAGGTTGTTAGACCAGTGAGGGTGGGAAAGGCATTCCAAAAAGAGAGAATCCTCCTATATAATAAAAGCCTAATATGCATTGTCCCCTCGGGCGGTCCCCTGACTATGACGTGCGCTGACCACCAGGGGACGGTGCGGAACATGGTGGGCGTAGGTGACGTGGTGCTGGCAGGGGGTGGCAGTGGAGGTGCTGCCAGCCCTGATGGGCCCCGTCGAGAGCGGGATCGAGGCGGGATGGTGGAGCAGGAGAGTGGGTGGCGCCAGGCCAAGGCGGGTGCAAGCAGGGCCTGATCGCCCTGCTGATCGCCCCACAGACAGCAACCAGTGGCGGGTGGTGGGGCCGCTGCCCAGCTCCCAGGCACTGAGGGAGCCAGGTTGGGGGCCCAGCCCCAACTGATAGCCCCGCAGACTGCGACCAGCTGTGGCGGTCGGGGGTAGGGAGGGGGGTCCTTGGCCCCAATCGGTTGCCCCACAGGTGGGATGGTGGAGCAGGTGAGGGGGCAGCACCAGGCCAAGGCAGGGTGCCAGGCGGGGCTGTGAGGCTGGGGGCACGAGCTGGGGCCCAATCTCCACAGGCTACCCCGAAGGACCCCACCTGTGCACGAATTCATGCACCGGGCCTCTAGTAGCATGTATAAAAGTGGAGGTTGATTGTGGAACCACATGGCTTGCTTGGGTGATTACCAGAAGTTTACCATGTTACAGCATTATTGGGGGGCACATTATGCTCATGCAAGCTTCGGGGGACATTGGTATTTTTCTGCCTCTAGGGAAGGAGATGTGTTAGAAGCATTGATACCCTTTGAAAGCTCAGGAGAGCAAGGAGGACTTAAGGGGAGGGTCTGAAGGGAAAGAGCTAAGTGTCAGTCTCAATACTCTACCCCAGGCAGGTCATGCCTGGTGCCCAAGCTCTAGAAGGTGAGGTAATACAGCACATGAAGCCTGCTCGGGACTGGCTTGCAATGCTGCTCAACCTCAGACCCAAACATGTCCTGTTTTAGGGATGCTCGAGGGATGACTGGGTGGTACAGTGTTTATGGGGACGGGTGTGTGTGGTTTGTAAACATTCTGTTTTGAAAATGGAGACTTTACTTTCATAATACAAGGTAATACTAAGTTATAGTAATTAGTCATTGGGGGCCCCCTAAAGGAAGGGTAGAATTTGGAATCTTGGGTTGGGGGGGGGGATGTTTGAGTTTCCAAAAGTTAAAAGACTTTTTTGTTGTTGTTTTCTTAGTTAAAGACATTTTTATGTTAGCCTAATGGTAAACTATAGAAAGACTGATTAATGGCAGCTAAGGGGGTGACAGTTTGACTTGAGGGCCTTGGTCTCTTGCTGTCCTCTCACCCTCATCTTGTCCATTGTGTTTACTACAGCTGGGTCTGGGCCTGGTACCCCTGGGTCCATTATGTGTCCTCCAGCCAGCCACACCCCTAGCCCCTGGCAGGACGTCCAGGGTTAGCACTTTAGGTGAGTGTGAAGGAATTCTGGGTCCAGCGTGCACTTGGGCACCTCCCTGTTTTTTTTTTCTCTGCCATCAGAAGCATTTGACAGAATCTGGGACTGCTTGGTACTCTGTCTGCAGGCTTTTATTGGTTTAAGGCATCGGTTCTCAACCTGTGGGTCGTGACCCCTTTGGCAGTCGAACAACCCCTTCACAGAGGTCGCCTAAGACCATCCTGCATATCAGATATTTACATTACGATTCATAACAGTAGCAACAACATTACAGTTATGAAGTAGCAACGAAAATAATTTTATGGTTGAGTCACAACATGGAACTGTATTTATTTATATATATATATATATATATATATATATATATATATGTTTTTATTGATTTCAGAGAGGAAGGGAGAGGGAGAGAGAGATAGAAACATTAATGATGAGAGAGAATCATTGATCGGCTGCCTCCTGAACGCCCCACACTGGGGATCGAGCCTGCAACCCTAGGTATGTATGTGCCTTTGGCCAGAATTGAACCTGGGACTCTTCAGTCCGCAGGCCAACACTCTATCCATTGAGCCAAACTGGCCAGGGCTGGAACTGTATTTAAAGGGCCAGAAGGTTGAGAACCACTGGTTTAAGGGAAGGGAGGCATCTATGCATCTGGGCTTTTACCTAGAAACAGGGCCCAGGCAAGTGGATTCAGGCAGATTCCAGTAGATCAGGCTCTTCTTCCTGGGTGTTATGGATGTGTCGCCTCTGCTCAAATAACCTATGGAAGAGGCTGTTCTAATAATAGTGAGCCCGTATATGGTGTTTGTGCCAGGCATTGCTCTAAGCACTTTACCATTTGAACTCCTTCACCTCTTACCACAGCCTGTGAATTACTTACATCATCATCACCATTT